TTTTTTTCCTGTTGTTTCTCTGGTGCTTACACCATCTCCATTCATCCTTCATTTGTATCAATCTTAATATTTTCTCCTTCAAGTTTCAAAGTATGGAAAAGAGATGATGGCCTGGACAACACAAACCATGATGCATTTTCACCACGTTCAAATGATTCCCTGTCCTCTGTTTAGGTTTCTTCATGGAACCCACCGTTTTCACAGATGTTGAAGACCATATGTTTATTGCCCAGGAAGAGTCCTTTGGTCCTGTGATGGTGATTTCTAAATTTAAAAATGGGTATGTTCTCCTCTGTTTACTGTTAGAAACTTTCTCATTTTCACCCCAAGTGTAGAGATGATAGTGTACGCAGTATCATTTTGTTAAATCTTGTAAGACCAGTCTGAATCCTGAGATCCTCTTCCACCTAAATTCTGAGAAAATATATTTTTACTAGGGGGTACCATGCTCCATGTTGATAGAACTAATATTAGCAGTGTGTGACAGGATAGAATGCAACTATAAGTGCCAGTTTTTAAATAATACCGAACACTAATTCAGTGAAACATTTTCACTGAAGGTGATGTGGTAATTGCAACAGCTTGATCAAACCACAAAATGTGTTATTTTTTCCAGCGGAATTGTTTATTTTTTTTCCCTGTCACAAAAGACCACATAGCATTGCTGCACATTGTGTAACATTGGCACATTACTGTTGCAAATTAAAATCCCTCTGAGTATTTTGTGGACTTCCGGTTTTAACAGCGTTTATTCCAAATCACAGGAATTATTTTAGACATAGATGAGATTAAAACCCTATATAGAAATTTGATATAATTATTTCCACCAGGTTTCATTTTCTGCAGTTGGGTAACAGTTATGCAACAGCCACATAGATAACCTTTCACATCTATAAATTTTGTATGGTGATAAGAAACTGTACTTAGGCTTTTAAAGTTTTAAATTATTATGGATTTTTGAAGCTATATGGAGATGAGATGCAAATAGAAAATAGAACTCCAGACATGGCCTGAAAAGTTGTGTCTCAATAGAAGTCCGAGTTTCAGCACTTACTCTCCATTAACTTGTAAAGCAGGGCCAAACCTTTAGCAAACCAATTCATAATCTGCTGCCAAACTGCTTCACAAGTATTTTTGTATTGCTCTGATCCCCAAGTTGCGCTGTAGCTGAGCAAAGTCGGTGTGCGTCCTGCCATTTTTCCTTTAATGTTTTTTTAGTGTAGATCTTAAACATTGAAACGCAAGGTTACAAGCCTTGAGAGTTGGGAGCAAGGCTATGAATTTCCCTGATCTGTCATACTGACACCCAGATTAGCCCTTAATAAATTGTCTATAAAAAAAGCTATCTGGAGAAGAAAGAGCGTGGGAGAAGGTGCTTCAACAACATTGAAGGTGGAAGGTTGCTAACACTTATTTTACCTAGTTGCAATTATGCAATTTCTTTCCCTTGCAGAGATGTCGATGGAGTACTGCGGCGAGCAAATACCACAGAATATGGCTTAGCTTCAGGAGTTTTCACAAAAGACATAAGCAAAGCTCTCTACATCAGTGAAAAGCTAGAAGCTGGAACCGTTTTTATTAACACATATAACAAAACTGACGTGGCAGCGCCGTTTGGTGGATTTAAGCAGTCTGGCTTTGGGAAAGATTTAGGTAAGTTGTTCTTTCCCTCCCTCACTTCTCATCTCACAGTTCAAATCAGTGAAGAAACCACTTTACCTCGGCACAGTGTGTTTAGTAAAACATGACCTACGGATGCACTTCCTGCATCTCCTACATCCCTCCAGTTACAGGAATCCAGTTCCTCTCCCATTCTGACAATATTCCCACCTCAATACCTCCAGTTCAGCCCTTCTTGTACATTTGCTACATAATGCTATGGCACACAGGATATTCCTCTCCAACTCCCCTCAGAGCGGTCAAATTACAGCTTGTACAGAGGTGGGTACAGGCTACAAAATGCTATCAAGTAGCAATGGTATCAGCCAAAACATCATTTCCTTTTTCTTAGAAAGAGCACTAGTTCAGGTTTCTCCTCTAAACTTGTAAGCGCACAGGAAGCTTTTTTTATGCCTTAAAATGTCATCAAAATTTGCCAGCATCCACAGTGAAAAGCATAAAAAAGGTTTTCTTTTCAAAATCAATTTTTTAAAAAGTGAAGTCTAGTCTGTCAAAGAAACTTTATGAGTCTTGGACAGATCAAGCCTCATAGCAAATAAAAATGAAAGAAAAAGAAATGTGACACAACAGAATCTCTAGCAAGTATCAGACATTTCCTGAAACCAAAATAAGTGATAATATTGAGAAAGAAATTATTACAGGTCTTTACACAGCTTCTTTACCTAGAAAATTCAACACAGGCAAACCAAAGTTAGTAAATTCAATCGTGAGCCCACAATTTCCATCTAGAGACTGACCCTGCTTCAGTTCCACCCAGGTGGCTGCTTGTTAAATTGCAGCTCCTTTTTCTTTTGACATCTCCGGGGTTTGACCTCTTCTTGTCAAACCAGTTCTGTGAAGCTCAGTGGGAGGGCAAGTTGTTCAGTTTTCACTGTTCCATAATGCCTGAAATATTGGCTAAAGCATTTTAAAATATTTCCTTAATAAAACTTAACGTCTCTGACAACATCTCATCTAGCTGCTGTTCTAACTGGTGAATATTGTGCTTGTACAGGTGAAGAAGCTCTTCATGAATATCTCAGAACCAAGGCTATCACTGTGGAATACTAAAGTAACAGCCTCACTCAGAAAGTAAACTTTCAGCAGAGCTTGAATATTAATGCCTCCATGAAGCACTTAATACCATGCCCAGGATATGCTGTCTGCGACTGAAAAAAACCCCAACAAAACCAAAATACCCATTTCATGGATAAGTTTCTAAATCAAGTCTAAATTTTAGTCTCAGTGACAGATAAAAGCATTTGGGAATTAACCTGAAGTTGTTTAAATTATGCAGCAGCAGTTGGTAGCACAATCCCTCCCAAAAAACCCCATGAACATGATTCATTTTTTTAAGTACAACTTAAGAACGAGTTCTCACATGCCTCCTTCTTACTTGTGTGAACACAGTATTTACAGGATCATTTCAAATCCTTAGTCATTAGGCTTCTCTTAAAGTTGAACTAAAATATACCAGTTACGCCGTTTTGCTATAACCCAGTTCAAGATTTACAGTAGCAATTAAACGTTCTGCTCTGGTGAATCTTCAGCAGTACAGAAAACCTTTGTGCCATAAGCAGTAAATCAATGCAAGGAAGTGCACTTACTATGATCTTTGTATAGTACATACAGAGTTCAACATTGGTGTTAAACTATGCATATCAAGCTAAAGTTACTGAAAATATTTTCTATCTTTTTGTTGATATGGAATGTGTGATCTGCCTGCAATCTGAAAGGTGGTTACATCAACAGATTAAAATCACTTTTTGTGTCTGTGTGCATGGACTGTTATCACTGGTTTATACATGGCGATCCTTACTTTGTATTTCATACCTTTTTTTTTTTTACATCTACGGGAAAATCCCTTGTTAAAATGACCATGTTAAGATGATGCCTTTCAAACTTTCTGCAGTTTGAAGGGAAGTTATCCATAGACTGAGACCTTATCTAGCAAACTAAGCCCACTTCAGACCGCTCGCTCTTCTTCAGTGTGGCAGCTCCACCCAAAGCTCAATCTGACCTGTGGGCCACTACTGAAAATAGCAGTCCCATGCTTTGATTCCCATCCTTCCCACTCTCTAAAATATTTTGTATTTTCATTAGTTAACCCCAGTAAATCATGCCCCAATTCTGTTTTTAAGAAACTGCATTGTCAACGACCAGGATCCTTATTATTTCTTATCACAAACATTACAGAAGCAGGTACTAAAACTACAGATTTAAGAAACAGATTAAAAATAAATTCTGTAAATAACTGCAGGTTTCAACTCATGACATCGAGTTTAGTATTTGTACAAATACAATATAGGAAATTTTACTTTAATGGTGTAGAACATACAAAGTTCCTTTAAGAAACAAATGATGACATGCAGGAGCATGATACTTCTGAAATGCAACCTGATCTATGAAGTAAATGCAACAGCCCAAATCACTGTGTTTGATCAATCTGAGATAAGTACGAACAAGACATACTTTCGCTGATTTTGGCTGCACAATTGTTTCAAGCTAACCCAAGTGCAGGCCAGCTGAAAATCCACCTCTTTGTTCTTCTGGTGGTGGCAGTTGTTAACAAAATGGAGGGGACAGAAACGTGGCAGGGAGAAGTGGGAGAAGTTTTCTTGCATAGCTTCAAGCAATGGGAGCACCACAGAGGCAGGCGTGACCGTTGAAATGCTGAAGGTATCCACACCACAGCCACAAACGTTCCAGACAGGAGCTGCCGACCTACCCGTGGTGACACGGAGCTCAGTGCAGGCAGAGAGGGGCAGTCATTCCTCGCTGAACTCCCTCTCAAGGGACAACCTTGAAATGACCCCACAGCTTTGGTCACCAAAGTTACTGTCAGGAATGTAAGGTAGACAAACCTCTAATGTACTTTAAGATAATGTTTAATATTGAAGGCATTGTACATAACACTTCATGGGACAGGGAATATAAAACCAAAACTTTTTTCCCTAGTTAACCCTTTTCTGCCCTTGGAGCAAAAACTTTTTCCAGCACACTACAAAAATCTTTCTTCGACAAAGCAACAGAACACAAATTTTAATGTAACTAGTGCCCCAAATTCTGTCTGTTCTCTTAGTCTAACCTACTGTGAAGTTCACTTCCATGTTGTTTGATGAATAAAACCATACTTAATTCTTCAGAAATCCAGCCTGCCTCAGTCCTGAGCGGATCCTGAATTCTCCACCATGTAAACGGTATCATTTCACATGATCCTTAGGTATGCTACATTGGGAAACAAGGCAGTTTTAGGGGCCAAGTCTTCAAAGTAAGAAAACACAATCTGCGGTTTCGGTTGTGGTTTGTTTTTGGTTTTTTTAAAGTAAAATAAAAATTATTTACTCATTCACTTTGCTGTCCAAAATTTCTATTTTGCCCTTTTCTCCCTTTGGTTTAGGAAACTTAATGTTGTCTATTGTCACTTCCTCAGTTATACAGTCATCTTCAGATTCCGAGTCATCTTCTGAAGTTAGGATCTCTTCATCTGTATCAGAATCACTCAGTTCAACTACAGCCACGTTCTGAAAAAAAAAGACCTTAGTTAACACATTATACATTTCTATACCACTTCTATCATTTGCGTGAAACATAAAGCAAACATATAAAACTACTTCACAAGAAAAAGACACCATTAGAAAGACTTTTTAGTTCTCCTAGGATTATAACAAATACCTCAGATTCCTAAATATTTAAATTCTAAATGTAATAGCAAATATAAGGCCATTTTAATATCATTATCAAAGACAGAAATGAGTTTATAGCTGAACTTAGTCTGAATCAGATGTTTAAACTGCCAAACAGGAAGCATCAAAACTAATTTTCAGTAAAGAATTCAAATGAAACCATTCAATGTACAAGAGGTAACAATATATACACAAACATATTTGTATATGCATTTATTGACAAAGTTCCTATCTTACAACGTAGTAGCATTCATGGCACTACAACTACTGCAAAATAGCAAGCAATTTAAGCCACCAGGATATTTTTAGAAGTAAAAGTGATCATATATTTCCATATGCAGAGCCATGATTTCTGAAGTCTGTTCTGAGGTCTAAAAACATCTGTCTTAAACTGATAATCGTCACCTCAAAATCTTCCTGTGTGCTGCAAGGCAATATACAGGAATCCGAGATGCAAATAAACTTCTTCAGTGATTTGAAAACAGCATCACACTATTAATCATGAGGTCTCCTGGCTTTTTATTATAAATCCAAGACACTTCTCAGACACTGCCACATGAAAATTCTTTTAAAAATCCTGTCCAAGCTGCCCATTCCACTTCAGCATACCAAACGAAACAATTTTCGTGACCTACTTTGTTTTCTCACTAATTATTTGGAATTCTCCAGCATGTACCAGCATGGGACAACTTCCATGTAGGTGGGCTATAACCTACAAAAACTCTGAGTCCAACCAGTGGCTAATGAACTATTTTGACAGGTCACGCCTCAAACCCCAGGCTGCCTTACTTCTGCCTTTTATCTCGTGGGTCTGCAGCCCAGAAGGCGCTTGACTGCGACACACACACCTCGCATCACCTTCATGTTAAAATTTTCTTACAGGAGTGTGTGGCTGCAGCGCTTCAGTTAAAACCAGAAAGAGAATACTGACCTGAATGTAAATAAATAGACAAATACCAGCCATAAAGGATCACAACAACACTAACAACTTTTCTAAACCCAAGATCTACAGCCAGTCCTAAAAATACCTACAAGGCGCAGCTGAAGCCAGTTACTTCTCTTACACTAAAGGCTTCCGCTATGCCTTACATTGTCCAGTTTCTAAACCAAATTACCCAGGAGACATTTAAAATAAAATTTGTGAATCTTGATTCAGAGGTGCCAATTCAAAAGTATGTCTTACTCTGGCCTTAAACTACTTCATCTCCAGTCATTACATTCTGCAAGTTTGCAAACCAAGTAGTAAACTTTAACCAAATAAGCATAGTAAAGACTTAGACTTATCTATCAAATTAGCTCATTCTAAGATCAGAGAATTCTTTCAATTTACGTTATAAAATTAGAAGTAGAGTAAGTATTTACCATTTCTATAACTTTATCTGTTGCACTGTCTAGATTTTCAATATCAAACTGATGAGCTGGTGCTGCTACCATTTTTCTTCTTAACTCATCATTTGCATGGGCCATCTGTGGTAAAAAGCTCTGTACTCGGTCTAAAACTGAAAAAGAAATAATTATCACATGTATATACACAGAGGCACACTGATTTATACATTTGTACCTCAGAATCTAAGCCTTTAAACAGATTCCACTTCAACTGTAGTTTCCAGCTGTCTACCATATTCAAGATGTTTTAGGAGGAGAATTTATGACAGCACGCAATTCCCTGAGACACACGCGGCAAAAAGGTATCAAATCTGTTGGTCAGCGTGTGGTCTGGGAGGAAACCCCTTCACTAACTCCATTCCGATTCTTCAAACAAAATGTGACTACAGAAAACTTTCTTCTAAACGTCATGGTTTTAAATACATATTGAGTGCCATCTTGAGACACTTCCAAATCAGCATTATCTGCAACAGAAATATCTCCTCCTTTCTTCCCTATTAAAGTGAGACTGAAGGACTCAAAGAAGTTGGAATAATGAGCCATAGAACAGATGTCACAGATGTCACGCTACACTAAAGAGACATTCAACATAATTACTAAAAGAGGCTCTGAAATTAAGATGAATGCTTTAGGTTGACATATAAAGCACTTATCCTCTACAGAAAACATCCCTCTAAGTTCAGTGGGACCTCCCAATAATTTTAAGATTATCAGTGTCATTAGGAGAATCACATCCGTTCCCTTCCATGAAGGAAGTGAATATCTCCACCTGCTTCCAGAGTTTCTTCCAATAATCTTTGTTCCACAAATGCAGATGAGTCAATTACTACTCTTGATTCTCCACGAAGTAAAAGGTACAATTCTGAGTGAGCTCCGCTGAAGTCTAACAGTTATTATCTACCTGTGAAACATCATCATCTCTGTAGAGACTTTTATCCAAGAGAGAACTCGATCTAACAAATTGGGTCTTTCTATTACTTCTTAATAAAATCTCAGCTCAATCACAAAATAAAAATACAATAATGTAACAGGAGTCCATTTCAAATTAAATGCTTCTATACACGAAATATTTTATACAGAAAATCACTTCTGAAAACAGACAAGAAGCCCAGATCAGAAAAAAAAAAGAAGCAAACAAGCAACTGTATACTGTAAAAGAATAACCTGAGACTGAAGAACTTGGGTATATTTTCATGAAGAAAAATATTCTCGAAATTACACTGCTTTTCCTAAGTTTATACACTATGTTTTCTTATGCATGGAGTTACACTGAAGAGAACACTAGCAATCTATAGGCAGCTTTCACCGAAAAAGAAGGAACCTAGCAACCTTTGTTACAAGTTTTAAAAAATTTTAAATAGTTTTAACAGCTGTTAAAAGCTGTTGAAAGTTCTCTTAATGCATTCAAATTAATTTGCGATGAGTGAATGGTTCTATGACCTGGCTTAATAATTTTGACAGCATATTTTTTAAAAATAAAGTTCTGAAAGTGACATACAGAAGTTGCATCGGTTTGAAAGCACCTGACAGAACAGATGAAAGGTGCAACCTGGTGAATTCACTATCTGCAGACAGCAGGAGTATTTTTGCAAGAAGAACTAAGTCCCTAAAACTCGGAGTTGTAACGCCTACCATCGCAACACCCAGGTGTGCCAAAACAGCAGTTACAGCATCAACCTATGGGATATGCAACTGCAGCGGAGGACCTTGCACCAGCAGAAACAGAACACAAGAGCTTTTCCCTTTACAAACGCAAGGAAAGCAAAAGTTATGTCAAAGATGTTACCTATGGCTTGTCAGTATTCCAACAACAAAGCCCTACTTACCATTACTCCTTGGCATCTTAACCGTCTGTAGAGTCGTGGCCTTCTTGCTGCTACACTTTGAACTAATCAACAAAGTTTCTTCTAGCCCTGAAAAAAACCCAAGCATTTGAATGTTTACCTGTGTCAGCTTCAAATGTCGTATTTTAACTGTGAGGCTCTCTTCATGCTGCTACTTTTCCACCTTTCTACAACAACACTAAACCTGAGGATTCAACTGTCTCTGCCTTCTGGAATTCCACTCTGCTTTCCTGCTAGTACTGTTTCTTGATGTCTGTTTAGGACGGCCATTTCAGCAGCTCTACAGGTAGTAGGCAGTTAATGTCTAGAGCTTCCAACCACAAGAGGTTGTGAAGGCAGATGGAGCAGCAGATTCAACAAGGAATTAGACAAATTCAGGGCAGCAGAGTCATAATCAGATACCAAAAGGACTGACAAGGAAGATACTCCCTAGCATCCCTACCCCTACAATTTTAAGTACCAGGCAATCACAAAACCAGGGAGCACACAGTGCTTTAACACATTCACTGGAATTATTACCTGCTATTGCAGCCGTTGGAAGAAAGAATACTTGGCGACAGGGCCCAAGCACAGAGGCTGCAATAACCCACAGCCACACACAGGGCCGTAACAGGCACCACGTGCTGGTGACTCTGATTTAAGCCCCTCCTCCCAGGTGCGAGGCCGGTGGTGGCAACGGAGGCACCGGGGCCTCACGCCGCCGCAGTAATAAGTATTTTCAGGAGCAGCATCGCAAAATGCAAACGGTACAGGGAAACGGCGTTGAGACAAGTTAGCTCTTATGGCCGCCAACACAGCCTCTTCCCGTTAACTAAACTTAAACAAATGTTAAAAAGAAGTAAAGCTTATCCTCGTAGAAATGCCCAGCCTGCAAAGCCGACAGCGACC